CCCCGGCATCCCGGGGATCGCTCCCCAACTAACCCCACCCCCTCTAGGGGTTTCCACCCCCCCCCCCCCCCCCCCCTCCCCCCCTCCCTCCTCTCCCAGTTTCCCAGGGATTTGCTGTGGGGGGGAACAAATAGGGGTAAGGCTCTATGGACTTTCCCGGTGTGTGAGCTCTGGATAACTCGGCGATATGGTTTAATGAGCGAAAAATTATGCATTGGTATGCGCAGCCGCGCTTTAGTTTTTGTGTCCTTCGGGCCACCTGGAGAGTGAAACCCAACATTTCTTTCTTTCTCCTACGGAGCCCCAAGAAAGCGTAATGGCATGAGGCGTGGTTCCTCTCCGTCTCGTGTTTGGGAGACGAACGACTGGTAAAATGGGCCTCGAAAGTCCTGTGAATATGGAACTTTTTCGCCCTTTCCGCTGGAAGAAATGTTATGAGGAATTTGGCACCTGAAATAATGGCTGCGAATTTGGCACACTGTTCTAACCGCAGATGAAACTTGACAAATACCTGGCGTTCTTATGCTCGTGCAATCGCCGTTTGCCCATCGACCCAGGTCCCTACCGTTCCTTTGTTCCACTCCCGAGTAATTTGTCGCCTTTTTTTTCTTTCACGGCCAGAACGAAAGCACAGTCTGTCACCCCCATTTGTTATTCCTTTCCGATGGCCTTCACAGTCGGCGGAAGAGTCACGATAACCACGCTCTCTGGACACTTTAAGGTCTGCTCTGGTGGAAAGCGCCCATTTGCGCCCCGATCTCGTTCCGTGCAACCGCGATCTTCCCGTATCTGATGGCTTTACCTTGAGACGTTTTATTTCTTTGTCCGAATCCACGAGCATGAACATAATTGAAAGTCGCATTCTTTCCCCGGTCGACTCCTTGACACCCGGATCTCCAGACTTACACGGGCACGATCCTCATCGCCGTCAACCCTTACAAGAAATTGAGCATCTATTCTCAGGTGAGACTCCCGTTCCCGAAGGGAAGATCCAAACAAACGGCATCGTAAGCTAAGATCCCTTCGAGGCACGCTACCTGGCATACCCCGGAACGGAGCGGATCGGCCGAACCGTCAGGGGGCTCTACCAGTCGAGTAAAAAAAAGTTAATGGAATATTGGAGTTGATGCCCATCGCGGGCCAGGGAGAGAGGCCTCTCGATGCAGGCTTCGATCTCGTCACTCTGCTTGGAGTCCGGATTTCCCATCTCCGAAGGATCCTAATGCCCGTCGAGAGGGAACGAAGGGCTCCGTCGGGAAAGTGGTATAAGAAGGGATCGTGAATGAATGCGAAGTGGCCTGGGCGTAAGGGAAGGAAGGAAAAAAGAAGAGATGGGAATGGATGGCCTTTATTGACTTTGATGGTCATGGGGACATGGAAGGCCTTATTGGATTGGCGCCTTATCAAAGATCATGGGGAGTCTGGATTCGACTGACTCTTTTGTGGCTTCCCCCCGTATATGCCCATGTCATCTTCCCCAGATCGGCCTTAGATTCGCCCCATTCAGGTGGCTCCGAAATCTTGTGCCTTTTTTTTTCGAAGTTCTTTTGATGGGTCAGACTAGTTTGCTGGGATCAGCTTTGGAGATTGGTTTCTTTTTTATTTATTTATAAATAAATGCACTTATTTTTTTTTTGTTGTTGTATCATCTAGTTTCGGTTTCATATATATTGTTAAAGTCTTATTTACAGAGCTGGAAAAATATAGTTGTTACTTCCATCGTAAAATAAGAAACGTTATGTATTTGAATCCGCAATCCTTTAAAACTGCATGTTAAATACTTATTTTGAAGAAAAAATATTTCAGATGTTGCACACTCTGCTAATTTCGTCGCTGCATTTGCGTGATTGAAAATTTTTTGCATGAAGTTAGGCTTTCGTTTCGAATGAAATTTCCCACGCAAAGTTCCTTTCGTGCTCTCCAAGGTAAGGATGGCGTGCCGAAAATCTGCCTAAAATCCGTCACGGCAAGGGCTGATTCCCTGACTCCTCCCTGGTTGGACACTGATGGATTACCTTGAGGGCCCGTACGGACGCGAGAGCCGTTGCTCTGTTCGGCCCGTAGGAGTCGTTCGATGGGATCGGTACAATTGGGTTTTTATAGATCGATCGCATCCTGTCGGCTTTTTAGAATGGGATCAGCGGATTATGATGACTTTAACCGTTAAGGCTTAACGGATTCCATTTCGTTTGCATGCGAAGCTCATTGACGTTAGACACTCTTCCGTTCGTCTATTCAGTCGGCGGCATCGTTACACTTTGGAGCCTCTATGGACTATCATTTAGGCTATTGAGCTTACTATTAAGTAAGCTCAACGCTATTAAGCTATATAGAATAATTGATCATATATTATGTGTAGTTAAAGCTCGAGGTCGTTCCATATTTTTTTTTTACAACTACGTGGATGTCATAAATGACCGTGACCGGTGTGTTTAGGATCAAGTGTTTCGCTACCGCGGGGAGAAGATCGGTCACCTGGAGCCGCACGTGTTCGCGATCGCGGAGGCGTCCTACCGGGCCCTGCAGGGAGACGGCGGGACCGGGAACCAGAGCTGCGTGATCAGCGGGGAGAGCGGGGCGGGGAAGACGGAGAGCACCAAGTTCATCCTGCAGTATCTCTGCTCCGTGACCTCCAATGTGTCCACGTGGGTGGAGCAGCAGATCCTGGAGGCGAATACCATACTGGAGGCCTTTGGTGAGGGGCGGTTCGCTGATGCACGGTGGTGGCTCGAGGATTTCCTGCAAAATGATGCACTTATTCGGGGATGGGATTAGTAGGATAAGACTAATCTCTTCGTGGAATAAGCAATAAGCAATAAGCGATCTTGGAATAAGCAATAAGCAATAAGCGATCTTGGAATAAGCAATAAGCAATCTTGGAATAATCAATGAGAAGCATGCTTGCGTGTCACGATAAGATAGTGGGTCGAAAAAGAAGCGATCGATTGACCGATTGACATTTGACAGGGAACGCGAAGACGGTTCGGAACGACAATTCGAGCCGATTCGGGAAGTTCATGCAGGTGTGCTTCGACAACCGGTGGATGATCCGCGGATGCATCGTCCAGGATTATCTCCTCGAGCAATCCCGGATCACCTTTCAATCCCAGGAAGAAAGAAACTATCACGTCTTCTATCAACTCGTCGCCGGCGCCCAAGTAAAACGCTTTCCGAAATCCCTTTCTTTTCTTTTTTCCCATGGCGGCGAAGAAAGTCGTTCCATTCGAAACGGAAGAGACAGGAAATTAGAGTCGCTGACCGGAAAATCAAGCGTCTCGAGTGGTTCGATATACGTCTCCCAAGATAAATCCTTCTTATTTCTCTCTCTTCTGTCTGATCCCCTCCATATAAATGGAGGATTAGCCGCAACGTCACTCATCGATCTGTGATATCTATCTTTAATATAAATTCTGTCCCCCTCATGCCCCCCTCATGCCCCCACCTGACCCGAGAGACCTTATCTCTAGGGAGAAACGCAGGAACTTTTTTGCGAAAGTTCTTTTGCCTCGCAGTGGAAGAGAGGCGTCGCGTGTCTGATAATCTCATATATGCAAAGATGATGAGGGAGGGGGATAATGAGTGTTGCTGAGTGTGAGACGGTAATTAAAAATGAGTTAAAGTCTTCCTTTTTTGTCTTCGTTAAGAAATGCCTCGCACGCATCCACAGCTTCCTTCATCTCGGGTGCCCGTCGTTATTCCCTCTCGTCCCCATCCGGCCCATTACGGCGACAGGAAGAGGGGGGGGAGTTAACAAATGAGCAAATGGAGCGAAACGTGCTGAAGAGATCCGCGAAAATGGATACAAATCGCGTTTGGGTACATTCCTGGGTTTCCCCCCCCCTAAAAAAAAAGGGCCGCTCTCGTTTTGGTATACTTGAGGTGATTTTGGCTCGTCGTGAATGATGAGAGCGTGGAAACTTCACCAGCGAAGTTTTTCCTTCCTCAATGATGAGCTCAAATTTAATTATTGTATGATAGTTTGAGGGGTGAAAAAAAAACTAAATTTGTAAGTATTCGGCTCTCGCTGAAGCCTCAAGCATCAATCAACCATTTAATTATTTAATTTAATAATAATTTCGTAATTTAATGTATACAGGTGGACTCGAGAGGGATCCAGGTACTTGGGTGTCGATTTCACACTTGCAGCAAAATTTGAAACTACGATATCATGGATCCTGCGTGAAGTATTGCCTCAGAGTTTCTCTTCGGAGCAAATCATAAATTATGTACACCCTGCACATAGTATATTAAATACGGAAAGGACGTGTTTACGTTTAAGGGGGGTAAGGTAAACACTCAGCGTAGTGACACGTATTGACTTATATGGTCCGTGGAACGAAGTCGTGTGTTTGGATTATTGTTGAAAAGTCTATAAGAAACCAGGACCTCTGGGAGCAGGAAAAAAGAGAGGAATGGTTATTATTTCAAAATGTTATTACCTTTTTACACTGGACATTGGACATAGACATTATGTGAGGTATTGTGTCCATGTGGCGTAAGCCCTAGCCACCTGGGATGCCCGTGACGACGCGTCTGAACGCCGAGATGGAACTCCGCCTGATGCCATCATCAGGTGGTTCGGCATCAGGTGGTTTAACATCAGGTGGTTTACCTTCGAAGGTAGTGGGAGCATGGGGCATTTGGGACGGGCGGAGCTTTCGCCTCGCTTGCGGTCGGGAACGTAGCCTTAGGCGATTCCATCGTGATGGGGCAGGTGCAGGATGGATTCGTGCGTCGCTTGGGACAAGTTGTCCCATTGACTCGTGCCGATACGCCTGCTGACGTGGGTGGACATCGGGCCTATTATTTGCATGTAAATTCTGTTTCGAGAACAGACTGCGGTCGGTGCTGCCTGGGCGCCGCCGGCTTTTTTTTTCCACATTCCAAAATCGCCGAGGGGAAGACGCGACGGCGTGTGCTGCGTCGCCGCTTTGCATATCGTGGGTGGGTCAGCTCTTCCGCGGGAAGTTGTCTCGGAGTCGAGCGAACGACTCTGAGACAACTTCGCGTGGAAGAGTTCCCTTCGAGTCGATTCGTTCGACGAAGTCGACGGGTGCTACAGGCGGGGTTCTACTTGGCTTTCAGACGTTTGGGTTTCGCAAATACGAACACGATATCAAAGTTTTCATATCCTGTATTTAATGCCAATGGTGCTATCAGCTTAACGTCGTTCCAATATTAAGTTGATGGCACCATTCTGCACGCAACCTGTTCATAAGTGCTGGCATACTAATGTGGGATCGATCCAAAAAATTTATAAACTAGTTTTCTTTTTGACTGTTCAACTCCATGTAAACTAGACCCTTTTATTTAAAAAAATCTTATAGGATCCTATACGATTTTTGAAGCATGAAAGTTTCATAGGATTTCATAGGATCCTATGGGAATTCTATCGTCACGACCAACTTTTCTCATCGGTGCATTACGAAGATAGATCCCTAAGTTTAGATATCGTGAGATACTTATATCCTTGATCTTGGCCCGAAATGGAACCGAAGTGGTCATGATTAGAACTCCCTTCAAGTAAAGCAAATATTTGTTTTGGATATTGGCTCCGGGAGATTGAGGAAAAAGTCGCAAAGATGGACATATTATTACCCTTCGAAGTGCTGTAATAAAACGTTTGATATATGTAGCAAAAGCTTTATGCCCACCATTTTTATTCTTGCTCTCGAATTCCTCAATTGAAAGTCTCGAAAGCAAAGTGCAATCGATTGAGGTTTTTTTTTTCTCTCTCTCGAAAATATGAATCACGATGGAATTACCCATTTGGTCATCGGATGGATTCCCCCCGTTTGCGAGGGCGGAAAAAGCCGTTTCCTTTCAACACTCCCCTACGGGCTGATAGCCGCAGTCTCGTTTCGAAGTCGAGAAACTGATAAGAAAAAGAAAAAATTCCCTCATCCGAAAAGACAATCTTTCAGATTTTCTTATTGGTGATAACGAATTTTTTTTGTGCTAATTTACCGTTTTAGTTTATATTATTTATTCTACCGTTGACCTCTTGCAGAAGAGCAAGGAGCTCCGGGAGCAGTTCCACCTCCGCCCGGCCAGCGAGTACCAGTACTTGTCGCAGAGCGGGTGCATCCGGATCGACGGGGTGTCGGACCAGGAGCGGTTCGACGCGCTGCGACTCGCCTTCGACGTCCTGCACGTTCCGTCGGCCATGTGCGACGGGATCTACGGCGTCCTGTCGGCCATCCTCTGGCTCGGGAATCTCAGCTTCCAGGTCTGGTAACGCCGTTTTGATTTCCAGGCTTGAGGAAAACTGATTAGACGCGACAATAGGATTTAAAAAAAAAAGAAAAAAAAAAGGATTCCAATCAAGGGGACCTTGGCTTCTGTTGGCTCTTCAATTATGGAAGGGGATGGAAGGGCAAGCCTATAATATTGACTCGCCTCGGATTCCCCATCCCATCTGGTTCCGGTCCCAGAAGAACCCTCTTCCGCGTCATCGGGCGGGAAGCGAAGGAAACATTCCCGTAGATGTACGATCCTGGCAGTTCTCCCGACGGGGATCGATGGGCGATGACGTCAAAAGAAAGGATTTTTCGTCTTCCGTGAAAGGAAGCAATTTTGCGAGCACGATTTTCATCTGACAGAAGTATTTAGGTTCAGATTTTTTCGAGGAAGAAGCAGATAAGTCCAGCCTCGTTAACTTCCGCGGTCAGATCGGGACGTATCGTAAAGAAACAAAAAATGAAAAAAGGGGGAAAAAAAGATCAAATTAAGCGAGGGAAGTCTGAATACTGGGAATTTTCTGTTCTCGACCCCTTCGTGTTCGACGATTCGGGTCACGTGGCCGCGGAGGTAAAGTTTCCAGGTCACGTGGCGACCGAGGTAAAGTTTCCTGCCCTTCATCCCAAGGATTCAAGAGTTCATCTCGAGAAGTTGCTTCCTTCTGACGGATATCCTTTTATTTCTGCATGGCAGGGGGGGAGGCACAGCGGAGGAAGGCCTCCCTCCTTGCCTCCCTCCTTCCTTTGTTTTCACTCAGGCATCCGCGCTTTTGTTGGTATGGATTTTTAGCACGCAGGAGGCCTTTGGCCCGCTTCGCACGCTATCAGTTATGTCAGGAGCTAAACGTTAAACGTTATCTTGTTTGCCTACAGGCAAATAATCATACTCGTGCGAATATTTTTACGAGAGCATCAAAAGTGCATAAAATGTAAAGGCACGTGCCTCAAAATGTAACGAGCAGTATTCGGGATTCGAGGCGCAAATATTCATCGTAGGAATGCCGACGACGAACCCCGCCCCCAACGGATGACCCTGCCTCCAATTGATGACCCTGCCTCCAATTGATGACCCTGCCTCCAATTGATGACCCCGCCCCCAACGGATGACCCCCGTCCCCGACCCGCTGTCACTCTCGGAGCAGGGACGTCCGCGGGATCTCTGCAGAACGTTAATCTGCAACCGGGACGGACTATAAGAAGCATCCCTTATTGCTCCCCCCCGATAGCGAGTGCCAAACGTATCTTTGGATGCAGCCATGCCGAACGGAGATGAGCTCCCTTTCGGTCCCCCGTGCTTCTGGTCTCGTCATTCTCGGCTTTCCCGTCGCAAAATCGCTCAATGCAGGGCCGATGCGAGTCCTTTCTCCGTTACGTAAAGGCAGGGGATGTGGCAATCCTTAATTAGCCGCAGAATATAGGTTTTCTGGCTTTCTCCCTCCGATAATGGGACTTGGCATTTAGCCATTAATGATGTAGCAGGCTCGGCGTTGCTGCAGGCGAAGTCTAATCCCGTGCGAAATGGACTAAGTCAAACCAACAATGCGCTTCTCTTGCTTCTTCGTAGCCGTGACCGATTCAGAGAAATGGTGCAGCAGAGATTTTCATAACGGCAGTCGGTCATGACCTTTCGGTCTGTCATGACCTGTCGGTCTGTCGTGACCCGTCGGTCTGTCGTGACCCGTCGGTCTGTCATAACTATCAGCCGACTCCAACAGTATTTTGGAAAACGATCATTCCTGATGAAATTTATATCTGAGTCAATCTGGAAATGATGAGGATGGTGGTGGAGGTAATTGGTAGGTAGGATGGTGGAGGTAATTGGTAGGTAGGATGGTGAAGGTAATTCAATATGAGGCTCTCATCGAGGGGAAGGGGATGAAAGGGGATGAGAAAGGCTTTCTGCTGCGGTTTTCATCGCGTTCTCGCAGTCCTTATTTTTTAATACTTAATATATAATATATATAATTAAATCGGTGGAGAGCAAGTCGGAACAATGTCGTTTCTCTTCGCAGTTGTAGCGGTATGATAACCCCGATAAAGATGGCACGCGTTACATGTACTGCTGGAAAATGCGCACAAAATTCCGGCTCGCCCCTTTGTGTCCCCTCTGTGTTCCCTCTGTGTCCCCCCCGGACCCTCCGAGAAGCGCGAGAGATGAGAGGATCGATCGGCGGGATGCTGTGCGGCCGGGGTATTCCCTGCGTGCAAGTTTGGGACTTGGGAAAAACTTTTTTATATTGATCACCTGGGATGTTGCAGGTGCGCGGAATTCTCTCTCGACGTAGGAAAATGCAGGGTATAATAGCTCTTTTCTACGTCGAAGAGTGGATATTTCCCGCCATCCTGATAATTTTCTCCAGACTCCCGAATGACAGGTTTCAGCCTCATTTGCCACAAATTACCCGTCACGTTTCCCCCACCCCTCTCGATCGTGGATCCTTACCCTGGTAACTAACTCACCCCGGTAACTCACCCCCGGTCGCTTCACGAACGGAAAAGTTCCCCGGGATTTCCAAGGGAAAAGCAGAGTGCATGTCACGGGAAATGACGGAGACGTCTGTGTCAGAAGCCTTCGGAGGAATCGATGCTCTGTTCCCTAATGGATTACTGATAGCTCTGCTTTCGAGCTCGCTTTTGTCTAAGAGCATGGATCGGGGGGTAAGAACCTCAGCCGAAAGACGAGGATCCTTTTTTTTTGTTGTCGATATTCAACGGTGAATGCTTAGAGTGGATTCTCCGAAGGAATCGCCGCGAGATCGATGCAGTCTGACGTTAAAGGAAATGAAGTTTTTCACGTCGACAACGATGATGAAGATCGACGCGAAACGCTCGCGTGCAGGAATAAGATTTTTTTCCCCCAAACGTTACAGGACATCGACGGAGAGAAGTGCGAGCTCGGGACGGGAGACTCTTCGGTGCTGGGCCACGTGTCGGAGCTGCTGGGTCTGGACCTGGAGGAGCTGACCCAGGCATGCCTCAAGCGGCAGATCCACGTCCGGGGGACCGTCACCGAGATCCCGCTCAAGCTCCCAGAGGTACTCGATGGTTGGGGGGGTGGGGGAGGGGGGTTTCCCGAGGAAATTCCTTGCACTTTATTCGGTGTGATGGGGATTCGTTAGGAAATAATTAAATTATTGCCTCGCTGTGTTGACTTTCACGGCGCTAGATCATCGTCATTTGTAAGAGTTTTGCTGCGATTGTGTCGCGTTTGATTTCGGTCGATTCCGGCTGCCTTTCTCGCGTGTTCTCACCTGTCCGATTCTCGCATGGTTTCGTTTCCGAAGCCTCGAGAAATGAGTCTCGCAAAACCGTCTGCGCAGGCGATCGAGAACCGCCACGCGATGGCGAAAGCGCTCTACTCGCGGACGTTCGCCTGGCTCGTGAACCACATCAACAAGTGCACGAACCCCGGCCAGGATTCCTCCACGTTCCTCGGGGTCCTCGACATCTTCGGCTTCGAGAACTTCTCGGCCAACTCCTTCGAGCAGCTGTGCATCAACTACACCAACGAGAAGCTGCATCGCTTCTTTAACCATTACGTCTTCGCCCTGGAGCAAGAAATCGTGAGTCGCTGCAGGTTTTTATTTTATTGTATTTTTTTTTTCCCCCGATGTTTCTTTTTTCTGGCGAAGCAATTAGGGATGAGAGCGTTCCCCCTCACCCTCCACTGTGTTTTTCCGTCCTCCCAGTTGATGAATGTATGTTTGCTTTACTCTGCCTCGTTCCTCTTTTTTTTTCCCATCTCCCAGTACAAGAAGGAGGAGATCGAGTACGCTCACATCCAGTACTCTGACAATACGGAGTGCCTGGAGTTGATCGAGAAGCCGCCAAAGTGCATCTTGAAGCTCTTGTCGGAGGAATGTAGAATGCCCAAGGTAGGCAGAAATCGTTGGCAAAAAATGGGAAAGAACCCAAGCGGAACGAAAAAAATATATAAAGTAATTGGTATAATAAATAAAGTAATTACACTGGTGATATACAGTAATTGATTTTTTAGAAAAATAATTTGATTGAGCTCACTATCGACTCGAGGATCACGCGTGTGGTTTTAGATATTACCAATACCTGTCGAAGTAACGCGAAAAATATAAAAAGACTCAGCGGAAGCTCACGGATCCATGGCCACAATGAAATCCCCCGTCTCCCCCCCCCCTGGGAATGTAAGATGGATTGAGGACGAAATAAAACCGACTCCGATCTCAGGTCAAACACCCCCCCCCCCCCCCCCCCCCCCCCCCCCCCCCAGGGTTCGGACACGAGCTACCTGACGAAGATGCACCAGGAGTTCGAAGGCCACAAGCACTACCTGAAGGGCGAGGACCGGCGGAACTGGGAGTCCGAGTTCGGGATCAGCCACTACGCCGGGAGCGTGACGTACAGGATCAACGGGTTCGTGGACAAGAACCGGGACGCACAGCAGGATCTGCTCTTTCATCTCATGTCGCGTTCCCGCAACAAGTTCGTTCAGGATCTCACCAATTTTCATGTGAGTTCCTTCCAGGTTTTTTTTTTTCAATTTATTTTTCTTTCAAGGTCGTTCTAACCCGTTTCAAGGCCGCCCAGCAATTAAGCTGTCTGCCATCGAAATTGCAACACGAAGGAGGAATTGGGCAATATTGGCGAGGTTTGGTGCGCGAACTCGTACCGGCGTGTCATGACATCGATTGGAGTTGTAAGGTCAGGTTGTAAGGCGTGAGGATTAGTGTTGTACAGGGTGGATCCAAAGTCGCAGCCCATACACCTGCGAATAGATTAATGGATAAAGGTAATCCCATTAGAAAAAAGATCAGATGGTGTCATCGCATCTTGTTGGAACCGCCCTCATTGTTCTTCGCGACTCAGCAACATCAAGAATTTTTGGATCAAGTCCGCGTAGAATTTATGGTACGAAGAGTAACGAATGACGATTCGTTACTCGCAGACTAAGCAGCCGAGTGGCAGATTTTGGCACATGAAGAAGATTAAAGAACACTTTCCCCCGAGCCACTTTGTCATCGCGCCATTGTTCAACGTTTAGCCGTGGAGTCATGTGGAGGCAATTCATCCGAAGGCAATTCATCCGAAGGCAATTTCGCCGGCACGTTCGAGAGTTTGATCGATGTCGGTTAATTAAGATGCACCATCAGCCAGTTCCATCAGCCTGTTGCCTGTGTCCGTCTGATGGGCGAGCATCCGGCTGATATCCGGCTGATATCCGGCATATATCCGGCATATATCCGGCATGTAATCTGACGCATGCCTCGCCGCCCATTTTCCTCGTTCCTCGAGCAAATTTTCCTCGTTTGGCTTTTAGGAGTTTCTGCACCTTGTCTCGCTCGTTAATTGACTCCTTTGTGTTTCTAAAGGGCGATTAGTGCGACTTCCCGCCCGCGCAATTTATTCCACGCCTTTCAATCGATTTCATGACGCACATCTGGGACTTCATGAACTGCATTTCGTCTATATCGCGCTACTCCTTGGTGCTGCAATTTCGATGGTGGACAATGCATTTTACTGCACGGTGTTTTTTATTTATTTATTTATTTATTTATTTATTTATTAAGAAAGAGGTGGGGGAGAGGCCCTGAAGTCGAAATGTGGTCTGTGAATTTGCTTCTCAAAAGTATTGTGCGGGGTCCTAGGTAATTAAAAAATAAATCAGGAATGGAAATCGGGGAGCGATGGTACCGACACTCCATGGTTATCGCATTCGGATTCACAGACTAATTATGAATGATTGCAATTTCACGGCAGCGGTGAAGAATAGACCCTCGAACGCGACAAACCGAATAATTTATCCGGCAAACTGACATGGAGCGACTGGGTAAATTCCTGAGCGCTATCGATGGGGAAAAGATGGTTCAGTTCCTGGTAGAACGGATTTAGTTCTTCCCGTTCCGTGGCAGTTTCCTGCTTTTTGGCGGCGGAAAAGCGAGAGTTTGCTCTTTCCGTTTCTGCGAGGGAGGATCGGTCGAATGCGAGAGATGAGCTGTCGTGCTGATGTGTTTTGCTGCGGTTGTTTCGAGAACAGGTTTGTCTTGCCCCACCGGGGATTCAGGCTTTTTACTCTCGCATGTTCCACATTTGGGCGCGGCGGGAACGATCGGCGGAAACACAGGCCGTTACCGTAGGGCAAGGTTTCATCGGCATCATGTCGGTTTTTTCTCCCGGACACTCGGCACACTAAAGACTGATACGATCGAAAAATGTATCCGGAAAGTAACCGGCAGGCGAAAAAAAAAAATTCATCCGGTCGCTTTCCTGATTCGTCTGGACCGTTTCCGTGTTTTCCTCGTTCGATTCTCGGCGCCCCTCGCGCCAATCCCCTCCCGTCGAGGAAAGGCAGAGGGCCCAGGCACCGTCAACAATTCCTTTCGATCAAAAAACAAAACACATACCGCTCTCATCGAACGGCACGGGGCTTAGTCCCTTACTCGCGACCGCTCGCCGCGCGCTTGGAGTCGCATCGCGTCTCGTCCCCGCCCCCACCCCCATCTCGGGGGTCCCATCCCTGATCCTCGAATCGGGCGGGGGGGGATCGGGGCGGGGTTGGGGGTGGGGCAGCTCCGTGCTCTCCGCTCTCTCGTTGAGAAGTGAGTTTGGAGGAGCTTCGTCTCTTCTCCGCCGAGAGAGACATCTAGCGTCGGTTCGGTCGGGCAGGAATTCCACTCGCTGCCGAGTGCTTAGGTGCAGATCGTGTGGAGGTATCGAGATTCTGGTTGTATCGTTGGGATGTATCTGCCTCTGTTCGCTTTTGGAATGAAGGGGAAGAACCAAGGTTTCTGAAGGCAGGGAATTCGTCTCTGTGGGGTGAGAAATGGATGAGTTTGGACTCGTGCCGTTTCCTTATCGTGGCCCATGTGTCTCTTTTGGGAAATGATTTTGCCGAAACTTTCCTAAAATGTTTCCGGACGGGATGAAAAAAATCGACGATGGAATAACCATCGTGAATGCATCTCGACGGCAGACGACATTTGTACTTCTGCGAGCGTAAGATCGGATGGGAAGGAAACAGATGTCTTTTATATCTTCCCGAGTTACCTCATCCTAAAGAGAAGTGCCGCGATCCGTTTCAGGATCTGCTGGGATGCACACTGTCCCGAATGGGAAGCGTGACCGGGACCATTCGAGCCACGGCGACGACGAAGGGGAAGCCCACGGTCGCCGACACTTTCAGGCATCAGTTGCAGGCTCTCGTCGATGTCCTTCAGTCCACCAATCCATGGTCGGTCCTTTTTTTTCTTTCCTCTCTAAAATGTCGGAGAGAAGACGAACGAATGCAAAAGTGAATCTTCGTGTCTTTCGTAGGTACGTGAGGTGCATCAAACCGAACATGAACAAGGCCGCGGACAACTACGATTCCGAGTTCGTCTTGGACCAGCTCAAGTACTTGGGAATGTGCGAAATCATTCGGATCCGGAAGCACGGCTATCCGATCCACATGCCTTTCGCCGAATTCCTGCAACGATATCGCTGTCTCGTGCTCAAGCAGAAAGTGCCAGCTGATCAACTCGAGGCCATCAGGTCCCTGCTATTTCCATTCTTTCGTTTCACGCCTGGAGAGTTGGAATTTTTCAAACTTAAAGTTTGTGTCTCCATTTTTTTTATATTTAAACTTGTGATATTTTAATTTTTTAAGGATTTATTATTAAAAATTTTTAATACTGTACCTTTATTATTTTATTTATTTTCGTACTCGTTTCAGATTCATAATCAGAGGCTTCACCGTGCCAAAGATGGAATGGCAGCTAGGAAAGACCAAGGTGTTCCTCCGCAGCTGCATCCACGAACCGCTGGAGGAGAAGCGGGCCTCCCTCGTCCACCGGAGCGCCGTCTGCATCCAGAGGATCTGGCGCGGCCATTCCAAGCGGAAAGGTTCGCCGTTTCCCTCCGTCTTCCGCCGTCTCCCCCTCCGTCTTCCGCTGTCTCCCTCCGTCTCCCGGTTGTTTTTCATTCGGGTATTTTTTTTTTTCGTCAGTGTTCGCGAAGAAGCGAGCGGCGGCCGTTCGGATCCAGTGTGCGTACCGGAGCATGAAGCAGCGCATCCAGTTCCTCCGAATGCGCCGGGCAGCCGTCACCATCCAGGCGTTTATCAGGGGCATCTTCGCCCGAGAGGTAATCCTCCTCCTTACAAACTTTCGATCCCGTCGTGGATACTTTTCGGTGGAAAAGCAAAACCCTATCAGAGGATTTCCGATGGCTCTTGCATCGAAAAAAAAAAACTCCCCCCAAAGTTTGACAGGCAGAAATAGAATAGTGAAGGATTTCGCCGATTGGATTCTCGCAAGGAGAACGTGTTCCTATGCAAAATTGATTCGATTCGAAAGTCTTGGGAAGCATTTGCACCATCGAGAGCCTCACTCGAGGTATGACGTGACCCCCCCAAGGTGGCTGACGCCCTCCGAGAGATGAAAAGGGTGGAGGAGGAAGCGAGGCGGAAAGAGGAAGAAGAAAGACGGAGGCACGAGAGCACAAGGGAGGTGGAAGAGGACACGCTGACGGAGGACACGGAGGAGACGGAGAGCACCAGCGATCTCACCGACTCCGGCCCTGGGAGGTTTGTTTTGTGCAGTACCTCTTCCTGCTTTAGAGGTTGCCGTGATTGAGATATCAATTATTCAGTCTAATTTCTCTCTTCTCTCTCTCTCTCTCTCTCTCTCTCTTGCCTTCTCGGGTCTTTCTTCACAGGAGCAAGTCTTTTGATGCTTTAGCTGACATAGCGAACAGGTGAGTGCTTACTCGAACTGTGTGTGTGTGTTTGTGCGTGTGTGTGCGTGCACTATGCTTTTGAGCTTAATCTTGGACGTAAGTATTATTTTTCATTAAGAGTTTTGTTCAGTGTTTTATATGCTCAGTTACATTCGTTTTTATTGGCCTTACGGTTTTAAAATTTTTAAAATGCCAATCCTATTGTGTGATTCTTTGTGCACTTATCAGTGACATCCTGGAAGAGCTGGACACCTTGGCGGAGCAGCTGAACTCCAGGATGGCAGATCGACAGGAGAAACAGCCCCAGCAGAATCAGGTCGATCTGGACAACCTCTTCTCGTTCCTCGGGGACACCCCCACGAAGGCCCGGAAGGAGGCGCCGTCCCTCAACGACATCGACAAGGAGATGGAGAGTCTGGTCTCCGACCTGCAGGAAGAGGTCTTGCACCCACGAGATTCGCTCGATTCGTACATTTAGAAAGAAAAAAAACGGTAAATTTGTGGATTCGCAGCTGGAGAATCAAGGAAACAGGGAAGAAGCCTCGGAGAAAGGCCTCGCAGCCCCGGCATACCCACTGAGCAAGAGACCCCGAAGCATCCATCTCCCCCCGCCGGAAGGCCCCCCGCCTCCCCCCCCGACCTCGGTCGAAGCCCCCTCCCCGCCCCCTCTCCCGGCCCCCCGAGAGGAAGACTACCTCCCCTCCCCCCCTCCGGCCCTCGACGACGCGACCGACTCCTCCGAGCTGGACGCCGCCGCGACGACCATCTCCCCCCCGACGGAATTCAGCAACGGACGCCGGACCAAGGAGAACCACTACGCGTCGGTCCAGGTCCTCCGCCGCCTTCCGGCCCCCATCCCGCCCCTCGCCCCGAGGAGTCGCAGCCCTTCCCCGAAGGCGAGGCTTCATTCGCCCATCGAATCTGCTGGCACCGCCGCTTCCAGCAATTCCGCCGTGAGTCCGAGTGCCGCGCGGCGATCGAGCCGTTTGTGTTTTTATCGGGGACGTACCGATGCATCGGCCACTGATGGCATCATCTGCGCGTGGACTGCTCTCACGTTCATTATCACGATACCAATCCCCCCCCTCCCCCCATGCCCCTTCTCCCCCGCTCAGCAAAAAAGAAAAAGGAAGACGTGTGCGTGTGATTGCGGCCTGGCGCCGGGCTCCCTCGTTTTCTTTGTAAGGCGAAGGGACAGGTGCTTCCGGCCTTTTACGCGCAAAAAAAAAACAGAGTGGTACATAACGTGATAAAAATCTTTTTCTGTCTAATGGAAGAGTCGGGCATGCCGCCGGACTCCTGTTCCAAGAAAACGCAGCCCTAGAGCCTAGGATCTCTGCGTTTTCCGACAGGAATAACGTGTTTCTTTTGACCCTTCGTCGAACGATGCCATCGAGCGTTTCCGTTTTTTTTTCCGATGAAACTCATACGTTCTTCAGGCCTCCCCCCAACGCAAAAAATCGGGATTGAGATGCAGTGTCACAAATCTCTTTTAACGCACACGGTGCAACATATTGAATGATAATCTATTGCCTTCCATCCCTTACCCTCCCCCCCCCATTTGTCACAATCGGCACCAGCATCTGCCGATGTATGTGAATTGATAACCGGCCATCGGCCGGAAACCGCCATCGGTACGGCCCTAGTTTTCATTGCACCCCGATCGCCTTGCTCCGTTTCCTCGACGCATGAAAGAGCTCGCGAAGCGACCGTTCGCCCCGAGCGCAGAAACCCGCAATCGAAAACTTGTCTCTCCTCAGGGCGTGCAATCCACGCACTCGTGGAAATTCAACGGGACCGCGCCGGAGGGGGCGGAGAACCCGGAGCGGGAGGCGAAGAAGCGGCAGCGCGTCGAGAGGAGGCTGCAGGAGATGGAGGAGCAGGAGGAGGTCCGCGCGGACGCCGCGGCGGCCGCGGAGCACTGCGACATCATCGAGTTCGCGGAGAAGTACTTCAACTTCCACGAGCGCTGCCCCGAAGGTGGGGCGGAGGAGCCTCCATCTCTTTCCTCACCGAAGACGCAAGGAAAAAAAAAATTGTTTTAATTCTCAGGGACGATCGTGGCGACGCTGAAGCGCGGGCGGCAGAGCTCGGTGGACTACCTGCCCAAGTACGAGATGGTGACGTATTACAAAGGGAATTCCATCCCGAATTCCCACATTCACATGTACGACCCGGACAACGTGAACATCGCTTGCTCCATATTCAAGGTAGGATTCGACCGACGCGCGTCCGCTTCTCGCCCGAAGACCGAGCTGAAAATCCCCGATCGCTCTCGAACCCAGGATCTGTGCAAGTACATGAGAGGGGAGCTGAAACCGGACCAGGAAGTCCAGGTGATTCAGAGCATCGTCGGCTTCGGGATCGAACGGGAGGAGCTGCGGGACGAGATCTACGTCCAGTGCATGCGGCAGAGCACCAACGGACCCAATCCCGAGTGGACGGAGAGGATCTGGCTCCTCCTCTGTCTCTGCATCGTCGCGTTTCATCCGAGCAAGGCTTTTAGCAAGGTGAACGAGTGCACGGGTGGCTCGTGTTGCTTTCGATGCTAGGATCGTCGGTGGGAATTTTTTTTTTCTCGATCTCTGCCGTTTCGTTCACGCCTGGCATTCGTTCGCTCGGCAGTATTTCACGAGTTTCCTGCGGAAGAGCCTCTCGACGGAGGGGAAGACGCGACGATACGTGCATTGGTGCATGGAGAATTCCAAGAGCACGAAGGTTCATTCCCGCAAGCACCCGCCTTCCATGGTCGAGATCGCCGTACGTTCCTCCGACGATCGTTTCCTTTCCCTTTCCTTCGTCCCCGAGATGACTCGAGTGTGGGATGCATGCAGGCGATGAGGAGGCTCGGCACGATCGTGTGCCGGTTCTTCTTCCTGGACCGGAGGACGAAGGCGATCGACATCCATCCGTGCGACACGGCCATGGACGCCATGCACAAGCTGGCCGAGAAGATCGGGCTGCAGAGTCTCGACGGCTGGGCCATCTACGAGGCGAGCAGCGAGGGGGAGTCGCACGTCAAGGCGCACGATTTTCTCTACGATGTCATCTCCCTGTGGGAAATGTACGGGGAGGTTCTTTTCTTTCTTTGTGGGGGTCGTGGTGGTGCGGGGGGAGTCGGGGCTCGGTCTCTTGCGTGGCATCGAGTGTCTGCAGATCCGGGTTTTCTGCGCTTTCCATCTATCTTGGTCGTATTTTAAAATTCGGTGTCGCTTTTATCGAGTGCGTGAGACCATCTCGGGTAGCAGCATGGAGGTTCTCTCATCGTGCCACGAGAGGCAGAAGAGTAGCCGTGGACCGCGGTCGCAGTCGAATGCGCCACCCTCGCCCCCGCAGGCTCGATCCGTTAACTTTGGATGTTCCTTTACAGGAAGCAGGCCAGGAGCGCCTCTCCCGGGGCGTTCTCGACGTGGAGCCGTCGAGCGAAGACCCTGTCGATCGGGGACCATCGGTTCGTCTTCAAGAAGCGGCTGTTCCGGTCCACCAGGGAGATCTCGCAGGATCCGGTCGAGATCAGTCTCCTCTACGCCCAGGCCGTTCATTCCGTCGTTCGGGTCTGTTTCTCCCTTTTGGTGCATTTGCCGAGGCCACTTCGGAGGGGAGGGGGGAAGGGGAGAGGCTTTTTACTCTCGACTGACGCATTAGTGATGGATTACGGGGAGATGCTCGTACCGAAAGGTGCACTTTTGAAAGGGGTTCTGGTGTCTTGAATTTTTCATCGGGACAGTAAGGTATTTGACATTCAACGGTAAGTATGGTCAGCCTCATGCTTTAGTATAGATATTCTCTTGAATTTATTCACTGAGAAAGAATGCTAAAATTCTATGAAGGTGTGATGGTAGTTGTTCCCATGTAAAAACACCATCTGTGCTCACTTGGACCTTGTGTAGGTTTGCACCCAATGAGCTTTAAAAATAATTTCTGCATTTCGTTTAAAATATAGCACGTCTAAGATTCTCGAGTTGCTTCAGTCAACCCGTTGCTGCTAGTAGTCGAGTCGCTGCAGCAAGCCTGGCCGCATTTTGTGCACGTGATGACGTCCACGAGGAAGTCCTTGTATTTGTTTAATCGTGCTCAGCCGTTTGTACGACGACAGTAGAGAGTGCCGTGATGGCACTCGATGGGTTCTCGAACGCACCCGGACGTTTCGCGACCTGCCGCCGCGATCGAGACCGCTCACCGCGGCCCGTCCCGTCATCGTTCGTTTCCCCGCCCGCAGCTGGATGCATTCCCGGTGACGGAGAAAGTGGGAATCCAGTTGGCAGGTCTGCAGGCGCAGGCCTCGATGGGCGACCCTCAACAGGATCACAGAGACGATTATTCCCATCCCGAGGCCTTCCTCCCCGCCAGGATCCTCGCCGTCCGGCCTCCCAACGAATGGGTGGGTCGTCCGTCTCCGTCGTTTTTCTCGATTCCGAGAGGATTCGGGGTGAACCGTTCGGTTGCGATTGCAGGCCCAGATATTGGCCCAGGCGCACGCTCATTACGGACGGGGGAAGTCGGAGTTGGCAGCCAAGGTCTGGTTCCTCTCCTGCATCATGCAGTATCCTCAGTGGGGTTCGTCCTTGTTTCAAGTCAAGTACCGCGGGTACTGGTCCTACGGTGAGGCGGTTCTCCTGGTTTTTTTTTTTTCATCGCGATCCGACGGTGAGACTGATCAGATCGAAAATAATGTGCGCAGGGAACAGCCTGAACTTGGGTGTGAACAGCCTGGGCATCCTGCTGATCAATCCGGACGACAAGTTCATCATGTCCGAGTACCGGTACGCAAACATCGAGTCCATCTTCGTGGACCCGAGCGACAATTTCATCACCCTGAACCTCATCAAGAGCCACCAGACCGACTCGCACCATTGCTTCGTGTTCGAAACGCCGGAGAAAAATGAGATCGGTTCCCTCATTGCCAGCTATTACCCGCCGCTCGCGCGCTGGATCAAGGACCAGGATCTCCCTCTCCGAAGGGTATCGAATCGAATCGGTTTTTTCTGTCTCCTTGGTCCTTCGGAGCGATGTCAGTTTTGGAATTTTTTTGTAGGTCAAGTTGACTCCCGAGGACAGAGCGAGACTGTTCTACAATGTCATCAACGCCCGCCGGGCCCTCATCGACAACGAGATCGTGAAGAAGCCCGTCGACGATCATGCCAGCTTCCTCAGGACCACCCTCCGAAGGTCAAACTCCTTCCCGCGATAGATAAACAATTAAAAAAAAAAAGTATTGAAACGCACGAAAATCTCGTGGATCAGGTTGGGCAAGCAGCGCGTGGAGCGATGGAAGCAGGACGAGGGCGGGGAGTGCTACCGCGGGTTCCTGCACAGTTTCTGGGCCTTCAGCCGCCACCCGATCACGCAGAGTCTGGCGAGTCTGGAGAACGCGGAGCACGAGAACCTGGCTCTTCAGCTGTTTGTTCTCGTTCTCACCTACGTTGGCCTCTCCCAGAACGGTTCGTCTTTTCTCGTGGTGCCTTTCTTCCGCGCCGAGGTCTTGCGATTTAGCAGAAATTTATTCATAAATCGTGGGGGGATTTGAGAGCGTGCCAGTCGGTCCTTTTCGGTTTGGCTGCTTTTAGTGGATGAAATGTCGGCCTGGAAGATGGCCAGTTGAGGTGATGCCTTCGTGGTTCAGGGGCAGAAGGTCGAAAATTTTTCGTCGAATTGCAAGAATGTCGACGGCATAAAATGTCGAAAGGCAAAATAGGAGAGGGTAAGAAATGTCGAATTATGACATGGTGGAACGGAGAAAACGTCGAAAGAACCAGAAAGTCGAAAAATGTCGGAAAACGTCGAATGTGCTTGTCTAGGGCTGTCTTTTTCTTTTTTCTAGAGTTAGCCCTTTGTCTCTTGTTTAGTTCATGCCTTCATAGACTGTACCCTCAGCCTTCTCAAACTGGAATGATCGTCTATCTTCAGAGATAGGCGATCTTTCCAGTTATTGTTAGTGACCTTGAAAGGGGTTCGAACCATACTCGCCCATGAACTAGCAGTCAATCTCGTTACTTTCTTTGTCATAATTCCTCGGCTTGTTATTTTCTGGATCGACTGGGTTCGTCATGGCATTCGCAATTCACAAGACTCAAAAAGGTGGTGCTTTGCTCGTGAATAGTTGTTATATGGACAACAAAGACGTGTCACGGGATGGAAAGGTTTACTGGAGATGCCAAGATTGAAACTCCAAAGTTCGTCTTGTGACAGAGGGAGAAACTGTTTTGAAGGAGGCACCGGGTGTGCATCCTAGGCACGAGCCTCGCACCAATAACCACGTCGAGGGATGGCACAACAAGTTGGGAAGCGGTTTAATTGGCCGAAACCATCCAACCCTATTCCATTTCCTGGACGTCGTCGGTGAGGAGCAGTCAACGGTTTAGCAGCGACGGATTGAGCTGGACAGGCGAGAAACACCACAAAAACGAAAGAAATGCGACATTACCAGAGACACAAAACTGAAGAAGATGACAGAAGAGTTTGATTTGAGGCCTGTGCTTGATTTCTTGAGAGGTTTAGCGTACACAATCGATTTTTGAAGCAATTTGACAATTGGACATTTGACTGGATATTTGTCTTTAATTTCTTGATGTGCTTATCGACTCGGTAAAAGTAGCTTTCGACATTTTTTCCATTCCACGACTTGGCCTTTCGCCATTACTGTCTTCGACCATAAGGACGTTCGACGTTTTTGGTCATTTGACTGAAGAGAATTCGACATCATGCCATTCGACCATTCGAGAGGATACCGCCTTCGTTTCCCGTCGACGATGTGATTTCGTGGGGAAATGAATGAGTGCCTGCAGTCCTGTCCATTTTGCCTTTCTGAGTATAATGATGGGCAGAACTTGGCGTTTTCACTTGGGTGAACTAGCATTAGTAAATAGGCTTCAACATAATCTTCTTTTTCAAATAACGCATCATCACAGCATATTTTTGTCCTTGGTAAATATATGTGTCCATTTTCACATGGTTTTTACAAATTCGAAAGGCCAGGAAATTTTGAAGTGAGGTCTGATAATATGGGAAAAGGCGGACAAAAACTCTCGTCTCGGCAAGTATTCTTCGAAGGACCTAGAAAAGTAAGGGACGTGTATCATCAATTTTGTGCGAATCCGTCGAAGTCTGTCTGAGTCATCCTTCTTTCAACTTTTTGGCAATCGGTACCTGAATTTTGCGAAGCCAAGAGTACCCGTCAATCGGATGACAGAATCGAAAGCGTCTGCCAGATGCCAAGGCACTTTGAAAAGGCCAAATGGCTCTGAGATGGAGGAAGAGGAAACCCGCTGAACACGTTGCAAGTCTGACGAATTATATAGGAATTCGAACATTTTCGAGAGGCCAAGAACATGCGTTTTTTTTTTCCGAATGGAACGAATGGAAATTGAGAATTATTCACGTTTTGCGTGGGAGAATTGCGAGTTTGAGCGCTCCGGTGCAACAGTTTCCCTCAAAAATGATTCTTCTGCCTGGTAGAAAGGTAAACGAATGGTCTTCCGAAATTTTGTAAGGTTGTACGTTCGCCCTTGCGTCGGACCTGCGGCGATAAAAGGAACATGTCATCGGGAAGATGCTGTGGTCCCCAGTTTGGGTATCTTTACTGGTGTTTGCTCCGTTGAAGCTCTGCCTTTTCGGCTCATTTTGCTTTTATGTTCCGTTCTGTTCTCACGCCTATCCTGTTTGTGCGTGTACTAGAGGGTCGCAACGGTTAACTCGGTTTCGATTAACCGTCGTGATACATCACCGATTTCCGTCATTTAAAAAAGTTGCAGGCGCGTCGCCCAGGCGTGGGATTGAGAAGTTCTTTTCACGACGGGAGAAGAAAGGATTTACTTGTTACCCCCCCCCCCCCCCTTCTTTTTTTTTTTCTCGTTTCTATCCTTTCTCTTCCTCCCTTTTTTTTCGTTCCCGGTGCAGCGAGAGAAAAGAGAAACTCAGAGGAGTGAAATAGGTCTCTATCCCGATTCCCCTCCTTAGCTCTCACGATGCGAGACTCGTTTTTTTTTTCACGTAATGTCCGGCAGGCTAATTCCTGTCACTCTCTGAGACTCATCTGGGCTCTCGAGGACTCGTCCGCAAAGGAAGATCTCTCTCTTACGCTCGACACGAATCACTCGAAGTGGAAGATCTATGATGAGATAATAGGCAACTTCGGTTCCTTATTATTCTCCTCTGAGGAAATTTCCGACCTCGTTGGAAGTTATCATCGAATTCATTTAACCGTAAGGTATAACCGAATGGGTTCACGTTGAAAACCGGTCGATGGAAATCGAGACTGCTCGTATACCCGATTTTTGTTTCGTGCTCTGCTGCCGAAAGCAAAGACGATCACCGTCTCCTCCCGGTACAGGCGAAGGAAAAGGAGTGTCAGACGGAGACCTGATCGCCGTGATCCAGACGATCTTCGAGCGAGTGATGGGGAACGAGGCATTGCTCAACGAACTGTACCTGCAGCTGACGAAGCAGACGACGGACCACCCGGACCCGAACTCCCGGGTGAACCTCCGCCACTGGTCCCTGATGGCCCTCGCGTGCTCCGTCATCCTCCCCTCCAACAAGCTGGTCCGGAAGTACCTCGCGGCTCACCTCAGGCGGTGCTCGTCCGACTTTGTCAACGAGGAGGGCAAGTATGCCCGGTTTGCGGAGAAGGTAATCCATCCTTACCCGACGAGTTCGATGTAAAAAATTTAAAAGGTCAAAGAGGCACATCGACGAGTCGATTCTGGTAGAACGATGAAAACAAATCCACCGAGTTCGCTATTTTTATTAAAAGGGAAAGTAAAACTGCCCAATTGGCTTCTGTATTTTGACCATCGCCTGGTCAAACGACAGCATGGGATTTCAGTTTTTAACTAGATTCTCGTGAACCAAAAGGGTTAGAGAGGTGACCTTGAATGCGGGAAGCATCACCAATTTTTTTAAATCTTTTTTGAGGGAAGTGACCTCAGTTGGGATGTTCCCATGGAAAGACTAACTGCCAAACTTTTGTTGCTAGATTTAAATCTCAACTTCTAATGGACTCAGACTGACGGGAATTTAGCATTTCGGTTCGGTATATTATTATTTGAATCGGATGTGCATTAGCCTCAGCATCGTGTCTTCGCAACTCAGGGCCTTAACACAGCTGCTTCTGATTCGTGATATTTTTGCCATATTCTGCCATTTAATGATAACATACAGTGAGAGGGTGTTTCTTCGGGAATTGTTTGGGATATTATCAATGCATGCCGAGATGAAACAGGCGAGCTTAACAAACTCCCGAGTTTCAGAATCCAGAACCATTCTTGCGATCGATGACGTCATCTGATCCACCGTATGATTCCAGAGCATGATGAAGACCCTCGAGAGTCCGAGGAGACAATGGCCCCCTTCCCAGCAAGAGATCAGATGCACGCTCAACCGTCGCCCCATCTACACCCGGTTCCACTTCATGGACGGACAATACCAAGCCGTGGAATTCGAGCCCTCGGCCTCGGCCGGAGAGGTACTGGAGCTGGTGCGGGGTAAGATCGGGCTCCGCGAGACGGCGAAGGGATTTGCCCTCTATGAGGTCTATGGGAACCAGGAGCGGAGCCTCCAGAAGGACGAGAAGCTGGTGGACGTGTTGTCCAAGTGGGAGCGATTCCGTGCCTCCTCGTCTGGGAAGCAGAGCCGCAAGCAGCACAAGCTCCTCTTCAAGGTTGGTGGCTGAGATGACGTTCGTCCGTGTTGGTGTTTGGGAGTTGTTGACGAGTTGGGGTGTGTGGGGTTGCAGAAACACCTGTTTATCGAGGCGGACTTGGATGATCCGGTGGAACAGGAACTGCTCTATCATCAGACCTTGAACACTCTCAGAGCTGACCGTTTCCCGCTCACTCAAATGGAAGCTGTATGTCGCTTTGCTTCCTCTGTGTTCAGAAATGCTCTCACTTGACTGTAATTTCTCCAACAATTCTTTCTATGATGATGTGCATGTATCAAACAGCATTGCAGAATATTCTAATTTCTTCCCAGGATTAGACGATAGACTTGATAGCCGGTGAGTTCATCAGTTTTTCATATTTTTGTCATATGTTAGGTGATGCTGTGCTCATTAGTGGCACAAGTGGAGTCAGGAGGAGCGAAGGAGGACTTGGATTACCAGGCGCTGGTGAACCAGGTCCTTCCTTCGAGGCTGTTGGCGACGGTGACACCGGAAATGGTGCAGACGCATCACGAGGGCCTGGGGCAGGGCGGGATGGCCGTGTCCCAGGCCAAGCAGGCCTTCCTCTCTCTCATCCAGAGTTGGCCGTTGTATCGATCCACCGTTTTTGATGTCTCGGTGCGTGCCGCCTTCTGTCACCTCTTTTTTCATTTTGTTGATATTACACTCGGGAGGGGGGGGGGGGGCTTCCGCTTGTCATTATTCATTGAATATATCTCTAATCACATCAGTTATGTCATTTCTCGATGAGCTCTTGCGCTATTGGCAAGTGTATTCATGGGACTTTGTTGATATTAATCTGCCATCATGAAATTGTGGATTATCTTGTGCTCCATGAAGTCGATATATTGGCGCGGTTAATCATGGCTATGTCTCCACCAGACGACATTGTCATGTTTTCACACAACAGGCTTCAAATTTTCCATATGTTCATGTTATTCTCTGCTTAATTACTGAATGCACACAAACATCACTCATCTGTCCTTCCATATACGATGCATGGATATTCTTGTACCTCTCACACCATCAGGACATTGCGATGAACATGTTTGTATATTTTTTGCTCCTGCAGCAATCATTCACCTCCAACTGGCCCCGGGCACTATGGCTGGCAGTCGACCCTGGTGGGGTCCACCTGCTGGAACCGCGATCCCGGGGCGTCCTCTGCACTTACGACTACGACTACATAATCAACTACAGCCCTTCCATCAGCTCTCTCATGATCATCACTGGATCTCTTCGAAAGCAGAGCAAAATCATCCTCCATACCAACCAGGTATTCCTTGCTTCCCTGTGTCCCACTCAATAATGTAACAACATCAAGGTAGAAAATAAAACTCAGCAATTATGTTTCCTCCTCTTGTGTAAGGAAGGTTGCAGTTTTCTGTAGTAGAGACATGCACATTACATTTGCCATTTGGAAATTTGCTTCATGATTCTCTCACTCTTTAGTTAATTTAGACATTGGTCAACTTTATTCATCCCCACTTTCCCATGGAGTGACCTCTTTCCCAGAGCCCTCTTTTTATGTGATTTTAAAGAAGTCCTTTGCCCTTTTCTTAATTTCCGATTCATTTGGAATAACTGATCGTGTCCTTTCTTTGGCAATATCAATTCGGATGAAATTTCGAAAATCTGTGAGGAACATATCACGCCATGAACAGTGCAATTATTATTGTAGTAGCTTCAGTGGGAGGTAAGATATGCTGTACGGGTTAAAAGTTGGTCTTACTTTTCCATGCCCTGTAAAGGTATTATTTCTGCTCGGTGTCATGTTTGGCATTTGACTTCTGATAGTGCTGTTTCAAATACAGTGAAAACTCGTTAACTCGAACTTTTAGGGACCGGGCAAATCGTTTCGAGTTATCCGAAGTTCGAGTTATCAGGAATCGTCCCCCCCCCTAACCGCTCAGATCCAAGCTCACTAATTACTTAGTAATTTTTCCTTAAAGGATTCATTCCTCTCTTGTTACGGTATGTGAAGCAATACTAAATTTAAATCGGTGCACCTCGATTAAATTTGCATGCAGTCATGTGGAATGGCAGAAGTTAAACATTTATTTATCCATTGATGTGCCATCGACCCATTTTCAACAGGCATTTCACATTGCGACACTGATCCGGGACTACGCGCAAGCACTGCGGCCATCGAGCACAATGGGCTGCAGTGCGCAGACGCAGAATCCGCCTCGGATGATGTCACGACCCGGGATGATCCAACCTCATCCCATCCTAGGAAGTCCCGTGGGAAGCGACATCTAGCCTGTTGCCAGGGAAACGATCGTTCGACGAAGAGGGAGAAAATCACTTCTACCCTGAGAGATAGATGCCAAACCGTGGACGTCGATTCGTTGTCTCGTTTTTGTGATCTCATATTTTTTATCGTTATTTATTCGCAGTTTTCAATGGAGAATTGGGGGCATTGATCTTCTTTCTGCACTGCACTCTTACTCGGAACAGAGCAGATTTTTTCATCATCAAGCCAGTTCTTCCAGTTGTTTGAAACGTTTTTATTTTCCCAGCTAGTTGGCATAGAAATCCTCCCATCATTTCCCAGAGAAACCCAGTTGCTTTATTAGGCCATGGGGCATTGAAAAGAGCTCATGATGTTCACCTTTATATCAAAGTTTGCTACCGGGGGCTCAAGAGAAGCACAAAAGCTGCATTTTATAGCAATATCCATTTTTTCACACACCTTGGCTTCCAAGTTGAGTTTTGCTTGCTTCCATCGATGTGATTTTAATTTCACTTGCCAAAAAGTTTTCATTCAGAAGTTCCTTCTTTCATTTTTAAAACTCGTCACAACATTCGACTCGGTGAGTCTCCGAGAGAGCGATCGACATCACTGCCAGAATGCGTTTCACCTTTCTTTCGGACTCGGGTTCCACGAGAAAGCCCCAGGCTGGGACCTTCGGGGCAAGCAACAACAAAAAAAATTTTGAACCGCAGTGTGACCGACCCACAAAAATGTAATCTGTGTGTGCTTCTGGCCGAGACGCAATGCGCAGCAAAAAATTATGCATAAGAGTGCTAGTCATTTTTTTTTCTCTTGCTTCTGCAGAGAAACCATTCTCTAGTTGTTCCTCCTGTGCTGGCAAAATGACATGTGATGAGGCAAAAAAAAAGTAGACTGAATATTTAGCGTCTAATGGTGTGTACAGAATTGGCAGTGATGTAGAAGGAATAAAGTTTTAATTTCCATCTCACCCTACGATAATCGTATTTTATTTTACCATTATTATTTTTTTTTTATAGAGGAAACGAATCTGTAGCTACTCCGTCCACAATCAAGATCCTTCGACGTTATCGGCTGTGGAGTGTAAATAAATATTGAAATCTTCGTGCCCTAAAAGGTAGATTGTAGTTTTAAAAAGTTTCGAGACCTTTACTTCTCCAGAAGCGAACCTAGTCATGCTCTAGTTTTCCGATATGATTTGGGATAAATAATTGTGGAAAGTTAACACTTGCTTCTGAGGTTCCAAAATGCTCGAGAATTAATCATTCGCTTGCGTGCTGCCACGTGCACGTCTTCAGCGGTGACGTCGTAATTCCTTTTTTTTTCGACACCATCTTTACTTTGTAACGAGTGGGACTCACCGGCGAATGCTCGCGAAAGCCTGCCTTCATCCAAACTGGGCGTGAATGCCCTGACATGACTCAGAGGGAGGGTCTTTGTCTCTTCGAGTCGTTCCAATGCTCAAATTAGCTTCTTCGATGCTCGAACGGGCTTTTTGAAACTTCAAACCTTGGAAGTCGCTTGTGGCCTTGGCGCCTCTAATATTCTCAGCGAAACAGAAACTGGACTTGAGTGCCGTTCCGAACCGACTCGACGACGAGTTCCTTATCATAGGTGGGAGATTAAATATAGGATAAACGAACTCTCCTTAGTCCTTTCATTCGATGATTGATAGCGATAGCGATACCTCAACCGATGCGGATGGAGTTTCTTGTACACGACACGTTAAGTCGAACTTGACGTCCCAACTGAATCGAGCGGTCCTGGAAGCCCCGACTGATCAAATTAGGGATTCGTCAATTTAAGCTGCTATATTTTAAAATGAACGATATAAAATATTAATGAACTAAATGACTTGGAGAGAAGAGCGGAGTCGATGACCCTCGTATATCCGGCCTCCGTAAAAAAGAAGGGATATTGAATTGTTGTTCACTAGTTCAGTACTTGATTTAAATTTAAAAAAGTCAATTTCCCGTTCACATACTACTTTCTGCCCCTCGATGCACCCATGCCCGCCCAGGGAGAGACCGGGGGGGAGGGGGGAAGCCATCGAGCACAATCTGCTCCGGCCTCGCGTGTCGAGGTGTCACGTAGGTAGGTATGTTCTGTTTCCTTCATGTGACCGCGACGTGGGTTGGCAGTGCGGCAGATACGGTGGACGGTCCCGAACCTACGCTACGTGAACGAGGTTTTACGTGGTGAGTTGAAAGGACAGGGGATAACTGGGTACTTCATGTTGGAATAATGTGTTCTATCAATACCTCTGTGGAGAAAGGATTGGAGGGATTGTCGATGCCGAGATCCGTCTGGGTGTCTTCCATTCCGCTTATCGCATTGCTGAAGACTTGAGAAGAACTTTGCGTGACTCGATCCTCGACGTGATTCACGACGGTTTTTTTTTTTCCATATGATTCAGCGAACGACATGCCCGATTCGTGCGTCATTTCTGGTATCCCTTCATTCTCCATTGTGATTTTCGTGTTGCCGTCGGTCGTGAATTCGAGACATGTTCGCGGAGGCGAGACGGCGGAACGCGTCGACCCCCTTCTGGGACCGGCTCCGCTTCATCTTGTTCAGGTTCGACCTCCTCTTCGCCATCAACGACCTGCCGCTGGACGATCGCCTCACCTTCTGTATCCTTCTCGCTCGTTCGGCTGGCGTGCTGCTCGGTCGTGTGGATGACCTTCCAAGAATGGAAACCGAAAGACTCAATCATACGCTTTCACTTCCCATTCTAAGTAGGGCCGGCCTTAGGCATGTGCCACGTGTGCCACATGTGCCAGATGTGCCACATGTGCCCCCGCACAGGTCGCAAATTCACTCAGGGGCGCCAAAACGGGACTGAATACGTGAAGCAGTAATGGAGGCCACCCTCAGTTTTACTTTAGAAAGTGGAAATGCCTTCCGTTTCGGCGTCTTTTTGAACGTTAGGGATTGATCCTTCTCCCTTCTGGGGAGGCTTTGGGAGTCTCTTTGCCGCCGAAATAGCTAGGGCTATTCCAATTTTCCGATTCTGACTTCCATTTTCGAGACGGTGATCCTCGTTCACGAAGCCGAATGGCGATCCGGCCTCTCGACAAAAGTCCTTTTCTTCGAGGGTGCAATCACGGTTTTCGTGTTGGACTCCGATTCCCGTTCTCACTCCGCTTTTCCCGGTTTTCCCTCTCTCGTACTCGTCGACTCTGAACGTCAAGAGCCAGTCCCGATCCGAGTCTGAATCGAAGTCATTCATTTTTCGCGTCTATTCGGAATTTGAGGACTCCGGAGATTCCTATCGGGACGAGCTGCAGTGACCAACACGAAAAGGCTGCCAGACGCCAAAAAATCCAGATTTTCATTTTCTTGCTTCGATTAATTTGGTTAATTGGCTGAGTTCGAAGAGGATCCTCTCTCGACGGACTTCCATTTAAATTCTTTAATTTTGCTCCTTAGTTGTATGTTCACTGCTCGCCTCCCGAATTAATTTGGAAGTTAAATATCAGGTATTACTGTATACAGAGTGTTCCCAAAGGGATCCTCGGAGTATAGTGTATGACGTACGTTCAACCTATGAGAATCGTTCCTTAACCATCAGCTGGGTGGAACCAGACGTGTGTTTCCTGACCTTTCTGGCCATGATTTGCTTCTCCGTCTTCACCTTCTTCATCTACCCTCTCTGCAACTACTTCGCTGGGGATGCTTCCACTCAGCAGCACTTTATGTCGCCTGAGTTATGATATCGACTGTTTCTTTGTGGGATTAAGTAAAATTATTTTCCCCATGCCGCTGTTTCATTTGATTTGTAAATGGGGGATGTGCAGATTTGTTCGACGGAATTATCAGATATCAAGATATCAACTTTTCTTCGTGACTCTGAGACGCGGAAATTTTGCTTCTTTTGGGCTTCCGGCAATCGGCTATGAGAGTTGGCATTCTAATAAGTTTCAACTTGGTCTAAAAATAGGATTATCGCATGAACGGCTTACGAAGGGCCGTGTAACGTTCAAGATTTATTGTTGCGTCCATTGTTGCTGCGTTTGCAGCGTTCGAAGCATTCGAGAGACCAAGAAAATTAGTACGAAAGGTGAAACGAGAGTACCAGCCCAGGTACAGATCGGCCATTTCACTGGCACTTATACCTCTGGAACGATCGTCTTCGCCGCATTGAAATAAATAAGAGCTGTCATTGGTACTCCATAGTCCTATAGGAAAAAACAAACTGGACACGTTCTCGATGGTTCCATCGTCCGCGTCGGGTAGAGATGAGAGGAGAGTCATGAAGTGTATGTTGCCAGATGCGCATTTCACGCGTGCGCCTAGCAACCCTGTCTACTCTCCCGGGAGCAGCCGCTCTCTCCCATCCTCTACTATGGATCCGTCATCCGCGAGGGGTGGAAGGGAAGTGGATGTTTTCGTCGAAAACGGGCAGCCCGACCAAGGTGAAAAGCTGCACATCAGCAGCGAGTCGTGTGGCCCGGTTGGTATGGATACTGAGAACAGACGGGATGAAAAACAAAGTGACAGACGGGTCGCAATATCTGCCATTTCCCCATAGTACCTATGGGAATGACGGACAAAAATGAAAAATGGTGGAAGCATATCTCTCCGTTTATTCTTCACGTTTCTTTCAAATGTTTCGACCGATTGTAGCCAAATGAAAAAATATTGACGACGGATGGCAATGTTACGGAAAAAAATGATAGTTTTGTTTTCTCGTACAGCCACTAATGAGAAGCATAGTATTCATTATGCCTACAAGAGGCATAATGAGGAAAGGTAGATGACATCTCACACTGTCATGAAGGAACGTATGAAAATTTGATGCCTGAAAGCTGCAAGTCTTTTCCGTCCAATCATTGTTCAGACATTCTCATTGGAATCACCAGCAGTGCTCGCGTCGTGTTTACAACTTTGCTTTGTATGCCTGAAATCTCCTTCATTTCAGCAAACTCTTTAGCTTAGGGAACAAGACGAACTCACTAGGAGCTAAGTCCGGTGAGTTAGATGGCTTATATGAAGCACGGAAATCGGTAGGTAGGTCAGACGTAGGTCAGAAACAGCTGAAAATTAAAGGAGGATGGAAATTTTAGGACATTTAAAGCGGCATTACGAACGCGCCATGAGCGCTGCTGGTGATTCCAAAAAGACGAGTGTGAGCAATGATTCCAGCGGCTGAAGAAACGTAAAAAAATTTGCGTAGATGCCGAAGAGGACTACTTTGATACCCATCATTAGTCGGAAAGAGACACCACAGCGTCATAAAAAAAATTCAGTCCTGGAAATTTTTGATCGCCCCTCGTACACTCTCTCCGCAGTTGATCATGATTTGCCTAGCAGTCGCCTTTCTTCATGAGTCACTCAGACCCGAAATTCATGTGGAAATGCATTCATGTCGCAGCATGCCGGATGCCCTGGGGATTTTTTGAGGTTGTCCTGGATACCCTGTGGCTCACGACGAAAGAAAGCTTGAGGGCTTATTTTGCCCTCTTAAGGGATGGTGTGCACGGTATTGCTAAAGTGATTAGTCGAGTCTTCAAAGTTTATCTAAAAGTCTGTCTCTCTCATATACCCTCTGCCCCTCGATGCACCCATTCGCGTGCGTTTTGTTTCCCATGTGACCGCGACGTAGATTGGCAGTGTGGCGGGTATGGTGGACGGTCCCGAACCTATGCTACGTGAACGAGATTTCTCGTGGCAGGTAGAAAAGACAAGGGATAACTGAATAGTTCATTTTAATAACGGCCAAAAGGAAGGATAAAGGAAATATCCTTAAAAGGAGGTCATCGGGCGAACGTGAAATAGGAGTCTGTCGAGAAGAGACGAAATGTCCTGTGCCTAGTCCGAGATAGGCGTCCGGGAAGAGAAGACGGCTGAGAGCCACCACACAAACTGGAGGAGGAAGAGCTTCAAGGTCCAGCAAAGAGGAAAGGGCACTCTTCTCAGCGGGCAGGGCCAGAATGAGTGGCACTCGGCGATCTGCCAACGGGTGCTGTAGGGAAATGACTCACGAATGCTGCTGGGAACTGCCTCCTCGAACGCCGACACAATTGCTGAACCAATAGAGAATACTCTACGATTACTCTGGAAGTGCCACCCGACTATTTCAGGGGACTGCCTGGGGACGCCACGAAATGGAGAAGTCTCCTCTATGGAAGTTCCTCTAGGGAGGAACTAGGCAAGGCTGGTCGGAGAAAGCACTCCGACCCAAGGTGAGGAGGGCCAGGTGCAAGCCCCAGCGAGAGGATGAAAGGGGTGAGTGGTCAAAAAGGTCTCACGAGTACATGACAAAGGGACCCCAAGGGGGCTTCCAATGAGACCCAACGACAAGGTCCTAGAAGGGCCCATCTAGCCATCCTTATCTATACAGTGGCCTCCAGGTTTCCTCTGGTTCAGTTTTGCCCCGGGCCCCTGAAACACTCTGGGCCGGCCTGGATGCGCCTGCCTTTTTTGATACTTCCTCCCACCGAATATAAATTCAACGATCTTCTCCTTTTTCCGACAGCAAATGTATAAAATCTATGCGACCCCTTCATGCTGAGTGTAGCCAATATCTTTTCCAGACGAACTTTTGGTACAAAAACACAACTTTTCGTACTCGTAAGTTTCTCTGGCGCTCTGGCATCCCTACTCCAAGGCCTCTCGCCTATCCCCGACAGATTTCGGCGACGATCGTCTTTGAGGTGGCGCTTCAGGTGTCACTCGTAGTGCGTTGGGGTTAATGCTGACTGAAAGCGGTTGAGTCAAGTTCGAGGAACGCTTGCGTTTCGAGCGGTTTCAACTCCTTGATGGGAGTCCATTTCTTAGCAGAAGTTGACCTCGGAAGATGAGTTGAAGGGTGCGTTGAGCGGAATCGGCGACGTGCCTTCCAGAAGAGATGGCCTTGATCGATAAGCCTGGATTGCAAGGTGGAGAATGAGTTAGGGTGAATTCGGTTGAATGAATCCCTTGATGTTGCGGTCTGCATCGCGGTGGATTTTGCCTTTATTTATTTATTATCGGAGCGATTTGGGATGAAAATGGGAGATTTTGCGATGGAATCTTTGAAAACGAGACTTTCCCAGGCAGTGTCAGACGCTAAGGTAGTTCCATGTTCAGAATGAAATCTTGTCAGTGTGTCACCTGCAGTCGGCATGTGAGATGGGGGGAAGTATGATTTTGAAGAAAAAAAAATCAATTTGGAGGGGGGGGGGGTGTTTTGTTTCAGGGCGCATGTTTCATTGACTTAAGCGCGAGGTTGTGATGTGCTGGAATTGCAAGAAGCGGTCTTAAAAAAAATTAAATTAAGGGTTACGGTAATGGCCTACTGTATAGGCGTGGTCTTGATTCTTAGCCAATAAGGTGTGGACAGACGTAGGAATAGGTCTCAGATGGGTATGGGGTTGTGCGCAGGCTAGGAAAACCCTTGAGAACCTGCGAACGAGGTTTGCGGGAACGGAGACGCGCAGGCGGGTGGCTCGCTTAGTCCGCTTGCATATCCTTCTCGGGAAATTCCAATTTGTCGCCTCAGGTTTGCGGGAAACATTTTATTTTTCTCTACACTGGGTTGTGGTAGCCCAATTTGAGCTTTCATAACTGTAGAATTAGACATTTAGGCTAATGTCCAAACTTATTCACGAAAGCCTATTCAACTTTAAGAAGAGGCTTGATGCCTTCATAGACAAAACAAGAAAAAGGAGCAATGTAGCTGTAAGCATTAGGCAGTAGGTGGCCATGTCCCCTCAAAAATATCAAAGAGGGGTAGGCCTATCTTATGATTCATGCATGTATCATAGGGTTCATGAACACAGGACGTCATTATGGGCAAAAGTGCCTCTTGACACCCATCCCTATTTGAACCTTGAATAAAATTGGGAGATTTGAAATGACCTTGTTTGTTGTAGGTTGAAATATGCAGCAGAGGTTATTTTAAAGTAAAAAAATATTATGGTGTGCAACCTGTTGAGCCATCATGATGAAACTTTAGGAAAGGCAACAAAAGGATTTGACATGATGTCAAAAGTAACAATCATTTCTTGAGATCAGCATGAAATGAGTTGAGAAAATTTACTGTTAATTTGTCAGGCATACATTTTACAAAACTTACAAAAATAACTAATCAAATTTTGACTCTACAGGAGGGCTGAGGTGAATGCTACTAACCTCTCTGGGGCTAAACAACATCCACAAATTTCCTGATGCTATGCACTGAAGTAGTGCAAGACTTGCCCCCCCCCCCCCCCCCCCCCAAAAAAAAAAAAGGGAAAACATAAAAATAAAAGCTTTCTAGTGTCATCTTAGGTTTTAATGGTGCAGAGTAACTTTTTAGCAGAAACTTCTGATGCACCAATATTCCACATTGTACAGGAGCCCAATCTGCTAGTGTCAAGTATGGGTTCAGGTGGATAGGTGACAGGAGAGACATTTTTTGGTCTACATATAGTGAGGTGTAAAAGTGACTCAGCTATAACTTATCAAATCTGAATCCAAGAAGCATGAATGCAGACTCTTAATGGTGGGATGTTGTCAAGTTATAGGGAAGGGTTAGACTCATAGGGGAAAAGGCTGTTAGCATGTTCAGGCAGCAAGGATGAGCAAGTAGTATTCATTTGGGTTTCTATACATTGATTGCGGTTGTGTGGTTTGCTATAGTCCTTGCATGGAGGTTGATGAGGTCAGATAGTATGGATGAGGTATTATGCTCTGAAGTTTCTTAGTCTCTTATGGATGGTGTAGGATGGACCAATAGTGTGATATTTACATTCTGCAAGCAGAAAGGGAAGTCATTTATTGTGAATAAGATGGGACCAATCTGATTACTAGGGAGGGGTGGACATTTTTTATACATATGATATCACAAACAGGAGTGGATATGGATGGCAGAAATGGTGAGCTGTTGTATGCTTCATGTGGGCTGTGCCATAAAAAAAAAAAAGAAAAAGCAAAAGGAAGCTTCTCCATCATCAAGATATCAGTGGTGGCTGGTGTACTTGGTGACTTTGAAAAGAGATGGAGTATTGATTGCATTTGTGTGGGAATTTTCATTGTGGCACAAGGTGCTGGATCAGTCTTTAATTTTCTGTTCGCTTTTCAAAGCATATCATGACAGACTTTTTGCAGTTCAATCTGCAAATGGTGGAAGCACCATGCCCTGAAGTATATCTGCATAATGCAGAATTGAGTTAGGAATTTAGTTTTGGCATTGCACTTTTCATATCTGTTCAAGTTTGGTCTGAAGAGGGGGAGAGTTTCTTTCTCTTAGTGGGACTCTGTACATGATTCTGCCACTTTCAAATTGATTTTAGGACCAATGTCTTGGAGGAAAGGCCCAAGAAGTTCTTGCTCTAAGTGCAGCAGGAACTCCACCATCTCCACCAATTAATTCTGCCTCTTTCAAGTAAGAACCATGGCCTGGAGGAACTTCTCCATCCCTGTCAGTCAAGAGGTAGGTGCTTGTGGTTATCTTGACGCTTCCATCTTTTGAATGGAATGTCCTGGATTGCAAGCAAACATATGCAGTTGGTATGTTGCATGCTGAGGCTGTCCCATCATATACTCACAGGCTGTTATATGTTAGCTTTTGGATTTAGATGAATGTGTATGTAGTAGCAGTCATTTCGTTGAACTATTCAAAGATGTATGGTATCTTTTAATGATGGAGTGACTACTTTCAATTGGAGCAAAGAGGGGATAGGAGGAGGAAATGTAGAGCAGGGTATATGGGGTGGTCTGTATGAATGTATCTTCTGTTTACTGCAAAGGAAATGGGCATACTGAGACAATCCAGGTAGGTGTACTGAAACCAAAACCCATATTTTTGAAAACCTGGAAAGGATGTGTACAACCTGCTTCAAAAACCTTAATTAATAATTATGTCAACAGCTATCTACTTCTAATATAATTACTAGTTTTCTTCTTTCTGCAGAAAGTGGGGCAGAAAATGATGCAAAATTGCAAAAAATTTCTCTCATGTAAGGAGGTGGATAAAAGATACAAAAATAATAATTTCTTACAGGTGAGGGGGCGGATGATACAAAGTAATTATTTAAAAAATGTCAACAGGTGTGGGGACGGATTAGTTATGCAAAATTACAAAAAATTTCTCGTAGATGAAAGAGTTGGCTAGATAAATGGATTAAATGCGAAAATTTTCACCGGCTTTTTGAGTTTGCCATGATATGGCTCAAGCATTTGGATCCTTCTCTCTCGGTATTTGGAGTGAAAGCAGGAGATTAAAGTTCATCCAGGTCTCATCACCAGTGACGATACGTTTTAGGAAGAGGTCACCTGTTTTGTAGCATTCTGTATCAAAGTTCTCCCTGGCGACGGTGGCACGCAGGCCATTCTGCAGTCAAGGTATCATGAGACGTGGAATGCCCTTGACAGATACTTTAGTCATGTGCAGATGCACATGAATCATGAATTTCATTTCATGCTGTTCATCGTCCCCGTGCTTGAACATAAAGTCAGAGGGCGTTAAACCTTCTAAAACTTCCTACTCTATTCTCTTTTTCTTTCCCCGCAGAAGAAGCCGTCGGCGAGCATAGTATAAGGAAAGGATAGTATAAGGAAAACACAATCATTTTCCAGGAATTTATTTGGTAGTGTTAAGCTACAAGCAGACTAATTTTTTTTTCCAGATGAGGGGGAGGATAAATATACAAAATTATGCAAGAATTTCTCACAAGTGAGGGGGCAGATAAATTATACAAATTTTTAAAGGAATGTCGCGCGGGAGTAAGGCGTAAGGGAGCGGATTAATTATTAAAAGTAAAATAAAATTTCTCGCAGCTGAGGGAGTTGGTTGAATAAACGGATTAGATGCGAAAATGTTCACTGGCTTTTTGAGTTTGCCATGATAAAGCTCTAACAATTGGACCCTTCTCACTCCGGTACTTGTAGTAAAAGCAGGAGATTGGAGTTTCGGAAGTGGTTTTTACACGGACAATGAGACTACGAGTCTGATTCGCAATTAAAACACGAGAGTGGCTTCGTCAAGCAACACTGACAGTTGAAAAA